TTCTATTCTTTCTGTTCCTGCTTATCTGTTCCGGTTTATTCATTCATGCCTCAGGATGCGGGTGCTCTGTTCTTCAACCGGTTGTCCGGAAAGCATGCCTGGCGCCTGAACCTGTTTATGGCCTGCCTGATATCTTGGTTTCATATCTTGGCCTTAGGTAACTGGGCTAACTGGGCTAGGGTCTTTCATTCCCCCCTTTTTCTTKATCATGGATAGAATCTTATATCCACTGTTCTGCCTGCTCAGGCTCTTGGACCAGATCTGTCTGCGACCCTGCTTCTTGCTGGAGCAATTGGTATTGTTGAGTAAGGACCATGGTTTGGATTATGGATAATCTTTCTCTTATAAATTGTACTAACCTGTTAAGGATTATCAGTAAAATAACCAAAGGTCCAGCTATAGCGGATAACAAGGTTGTTAGCCAGGGGGATTTACTAAACCAGTACTCAAACCATCCCTGTTGATTTTCGAATTCCTTCTGTCTCTTCGCCAATCTTTCAGTGACTTTTTCCATAGTTTCTCTGACAACCCCCGTATGGTCAGCATAGAAACAACATTGTTCTTTTAGGGCCACACAGAGGCCCCCTTCTCTAAGGAACAGTAAATCCAATCCTCTCCTATTTTGTAACACAACCTCTGAAAGGGAAGAGACGGACTTTTCTAGGGCCGTWATAGATTTAGCCATGGCAGTTAAATCTTCGTTCATAGCTGCTTGCAAATGTAAGAATTGGCTCCCCTGCACTAAGGCTGCAGTTCCTGTTCCTACCCCTGCGGCTATTCCTCCAACGCCCAGCAATATGGCTATAGTCAGGCTGATGGGCTCCCTAGGATACCACTTTTGCCCTTCCAGATGTCTTAGGACGTAGTCTGATCTTAGATATGATATCCTTGGCCATAGTTGTATTAGCACACAGAAATCAGTGTTGGCGTTGAGGACAGCTGTAGAAATGCAGGGGGTTAGTCCAGTGCTACAAGCCCAGTAAGTCCCATTGGGTCCCCACAAATAGCTATTTTGGGAGCCAGTTACTTGGAAGGTGGCATTACAGAGTGGCTGATGGAGTAGGGGTACGTTCCCTATGCAGATCCCCTGTCCTGAAACCTCGGTGATGGTTAGCTTGGAGCTCGGTAAGGAGGAACACTTACTGTCTGGACTACTGCTATAGGTCCAATTTGAAACTGTGGCAATTCCCTCATAATAGGGGGGGCTAGAAGTGAGACACAGCCAGCAATCCTGGGTCCGGTTAGGGTTGGTAGAGTTGAGGGCATAATATGCTCCTTGGATTAATTTAAGTAATCGATCCCCAGTACCGGAGGCAAGGGAGGGGTAAGTCGTGTTTGGAGGGCTGATATTGCTGGAGGGCGAATGGTTTACTGATGGCGTCATGACAACAGGTAACAGAGTTTGAGATGGAACTCTCTGTTCAGCAAGTACCGAGTTGGGGCCTACGTGTCTCATTTCATCTCTGGTTTCCAACTGGAGTCGGAGCAAAAGACCTGGATTATATTGACCTGGGGTATACAAGCGGGCTCCCCATAAATATCCTTGGAGCCACCCTATCTGCTTCTTCCCTTCCTCTGTAAATTTGATGGTTATATTCGATTCTCCTGTAGTTGTCTCGGAGAATTGTACATAGTCATTTCTAGGTTTTCCTTTTAGCCAATATCCATTGGAGCTGGTCTCGCAACCCCATGAGGCACAGAAGTAGTGTTCAGGCCCCCCGCATTGCCAGGTGCGAGATCGCCCTGGACACAGATACCATGATCGGAACCTGCAAGCGGGGTAGGAGTCCCCTTTATCTTTCTGCGTATTTTGCCAAGATCCCTCAGCTAGTTTGCAGAGATCAAAGGTTAAGTTTGGCCACCAAGTATTTAAAGCATGATATCCCTGAGCTAGAGTCATCTTCTTGCCTGTCTCTATATTACTTACAGTCCAGGTTAAAGTTTTGGGAATATGGGGACTATTACCTAAGATTATGGGGGGCAAGCAGAAAGCAAGAACAGTTAGCAGCGCATAAGTCTTATCTTTAGCGGGTTTTGAGTGCGTTGCAACTTCCATCCTGGATCTGAAGAGGTGTCTGTGGAATCTCGTGGACGTGTAGCCTTCACGTGGGACGCGTGGATCCAGGCAGTGATGCCGTCCACTTTAACTGCAGTGGGAGTGGTCAACAGGACGGTGTAGGGTCCCTTCCACCGTGGTTCGAGGTTCTTATTCTGGTGCCTGCGTACCCAGACGGTGTCCCCGATTTTGAACGAATGTGGCACCGAGGGGGCTTTGAGTTCTTCCTTATATGCCGCTGCCAATGGTTTCCAGACCTCGTTCTGGACCAATTGCAATGCGCGTAAATGAGTCTGCATAGATGGGGTAAGGGAGGCATAGATTTCAGTTTCATAAAAGTTAATAGCGGGTGGTGGGGCACCATACAGAATCTCAAAGGGGGTTAATCCCTGAGGGCCTGGGGTATTCCGGGCCCGATATAAGGCTAAAGGCAGGAGTTGTACCCAGTCTCTAGTGCCAGTTTCAAGCGTTAATTTGGTTAAAGTCTCCTTGATGGTCCTATTCATTCTTTCTACCTGTCCTGAACTTTGGGGTCTATAAGCACAATGTAATTTCCAATTAATCCCCAATGTATTGGCCACCACCTGACTTACCTGAGAGGTGAAGGCAGGCCCGTTATCCGACCCAATTGTCTCGGGTACCCCATACCTTGGGAAAATTTCTTCCAAYAGTTTTTTAGCGACCACCTTAGCAGTTTCATGCCGAGTCGGGAATGCTTCTACCCATCCGGAGAAAGTGTCAACAAAAACYAGAAGATATTTATATCCATACATACCCGGTTTGATTTCAGTGAAGTCTATTTCCCAATGGGTTCCAGGTTTATGTCCTCTTACCCGAACTCCTGTTCCAATTTTAATTTTACCAGCATTTACCTGGGCACATGCTTGACAATTTCCTGCAACTTGCTGGAGAAGTCGGTCCCTATCAGGAAGATATAGAGTGCCTTCTCCACGGTYTAAAAGATCTCTCATCTTTTTAGCCCCAAGATGTGTCAGTCTGTGTAAGGATTTCACTAGTTCTTTCGCATTTTTGAGGGGCACTACAGTCTTTCCTTGATATTCCCAGGTATTCTCCTCTGAGTTGTAAGAGGCTTCCAGCTTCTGTATGATATCTAAATCTCTGTCCTCATAGACCCACTGCTCTTCATAGTCATCAGGTCGTGGGTCTGCCCGTTGGGGCAATAGAGTCATCACTAAAAGCTGTGGCCCTAGGGCTGCTTTCTTGGCTGTCTCATCTGCTAATCTGTTCCCTTTGGCCTCCGGAGTATCTCCTTTTTGATGGCCGGGACAATGCATGATRCTTAACTTTTTGGGCAGAAATAAAGCTTTAAGCAAAGCCAATATTTCAGTCTTATTTTTGATTTCTTTTCCCTCTGAGGTCAGTAATCCCCGGCGCCTGTAAATTTCTCCATGTATATGAGCAGTGGCAAAAGCATACCTGCTGTCTGTGTACACGTTTARTTTCTTCCCCTCTGCCAACTTTAAGGCTTGGGTCAGAGCTATCAGTTCTGCTCGCTGAGCTGATGTCCCACCCGGTAGTGCACTCGCCCATATTACCTCAGATTCGGTAGTGATGGCTGCTCCCGCTTGCCGTTCTCCATTGAGCAGGTAACTGCTCCCATCCGTGTACCAGACCAGCTCTGCATCCTTCATCGGTTGGTCTGTGAGGTCTGGCCGAGTCCCTTGTGTTTCTGCGAGAATCTGCTGGCAGTTGTGAGGATTTGCTTCTCCCGGAAGTGGCAGGAGGGTCGCTGGATTCAGTGTAACCATAGGACCGAACTGAATTCGGTCAGTGTCCAGCAATAGAGATTGGTAATGGGTGAGTCGGGCGTTTGACATCCAGCGATCGGGCGGCTGGCGAATTATGGTCTCAACGGCATGAGGGGTTAATAGGGTTAATGGCTGTCCCAAAGTCAGTTTAGTGGCATCCTTAATCAGAATAGCTACAGCTGCTATCATCCGGAGACATGGTGGCCATCCTGATGCCACTGGATCCAATTTCTTTGACAGGTAGGCTATAGGACGCCTCCAGGGCCCCAATTTTTGGGTTAGAACACCTTTTGCATAACCCTACTTCTCATCTATAAACAGGTCAAAAGGCTTGGTAACATCCGGTAGACCCAAGGCGGGGGCTGACAGAAGGGCCAGTTTAATGTGATCAAATGCCAATTGGTGTTCTTCAGTCCAAGTGAAGGAGTTACCCTGTTTAGTCAGTGGATACAARGGGGCTGCTATCTCAGCAAACCCAGGAATCCAGAGTCTACAGAAACCTGCGGTCCCCAGAAATTCTCGCAACTGCTTGGGATTCTGGGGGGTTGGTATGCTCGAGATAGTCTCTTTTCTGGCAGCTGTCAACCACCTTTGGCCGTCATGAAGTTCGTAGCCAAGATAAGTAACTGTTGTTTGRCAGATTTGGGCCTTTTTAGCTGAYGCTYTATACCCCAACTGCCCCAAAGTTTGTAGTAATGTCTCCGTACCTACCAGGCAATCTTCCTCGGAGGTGGCAGCCAGCAAGATGTCATCTACATACTGAAGCATAATTAAGGAGGGGTGTCTTACACGAAARTCGGCCAAATCCTGATGTAAGGCCTCATCGAAGAGCGTCGGGCTGTTTTTGAACCCTTGTGGCAGCCTTGTCCAGGTCAGTTGTCCAGAGACTCCTTCTTCGGGATCCTTCCATTCGAATGCAAAGAGAGCCTGGCTTTGGGGAGACAATCTYAGGCAGAAGAAGGCATCTTTYAGGTCCAAAACAGTGTACCAAGTATGGGTAGGAGGTAAGGTGCTRAGGAGATTGTAGGGGTTAGGCACCGTGGGGTGGATATCTTCTACCCTTTTATTTACTTCTCTTAAGTCCTGGACAGGTCTGTAGTCATTTGTTCCTGGCTTTTTGACTGGCAACAATGGGGTGTTCCAGGGCGACCGGCAAGGAGTTAGGATGCCTTGGTCTAGGAGGCGTTTGATATGTGGTCTGATGCCCTGGTAAGCTTCCCTTGACATAGGATATTGCTTAATACTTATGGGAGTAGCAGTGGTTTTAAGGTGAATGACTATCGGAGTTTGTTGTTTAGCCATTCCCATTCCCCCAGTTTCAGCCCAGGCCTCCGGGTAAGAATCAAGCCAATAGTCCATGTCCTTCATAGGTACAGAAGGTTTGTCAAAAAGTTTATATTCATCTTCTAATTTGAAAGTCARTACATGTAAGGGGGCCTGGTTTGGCCCTGTGATGGAGGCACCCCCATCCTTAAAGTAAATTTGGGCTCTCAATTTGGTCAATAAGTCTCTTCCTAGTAGTGGATACGGGCAATCAGGCACATGCAGAAACGAGTGGGAGACTTTACCTGTGGCAAGATGTACTTCTCTTTTGGTGGTCCATCGGTACGGTTTGCTTCCGGTGGCGCCCTGGACCCACGTCGTTTTGTGGCTCATAGGTCCTGGTGCCCGTGTTAGCACCGAGTGTTGGGCTCCTGTATCCACTAGGAAGGTCACAGGTTGCCCCCCTACTTGCAGAGTTACCCGGGGCTCAGGGGGGAGCTCCTGGCCCTGACTCCCCTAATCTTCATCCAAGGCTAGCAATTGAGGGGTCCGGCGTACATTTCTTCTGGGGTTCTTCGGGCAATCCCTTACCCAGTGCCCCTTTTCTTTGCAGTAGGCACATTGGTCTCGGTCCATACGGGGTCTGCCGTGTTCCCTTTCCTTGCCTGCCCTATTTCCCTGGTGTCCTGTCTGAGCTACAGTGGCCAATATCTTACTTAATTCTTTACTATGTTTTCGCTCCCTCCTGTCTAGTTCGTCCCTAAATTTGAGGTCTCTTTCCTCCTGCCTTTTCCTGATTCTTTCTTCCTTTTCCTCTCGAGTCTCTCTTTTGTTGAAAATCTTTTCTGCTTCCCTTAATAATTCTGCTAGAGAAAAATCTTGTAAGTTATCTAACCTTTGTAATTTAGTTCTAATATCTGGAGCGGACTGCCAAATAAAAGCCATAGAGACATTTCCTCTCTGAYCCTCACTGTCGGGGTCAAAAGGCGTATACCTCCGATAGGCTTCCTTAAGTCTCTCTAAAAATGCAGTCGGAGTTTCCTCTGGTCCCTGTGTAGTCTGTCTTACCTGAGCCAAATTGGTGGGCCGTCGCCCTGCTCCATGGAGACCCGCTATGAGTAACTGGCGATAGAGACGTAGGTGGTTCCTACCTGCATCAGTGTTATAGTCCCAGTCYGGCCGAGTCAAGGGGAAAGCTTCATTAATCAAATTTGGGAGTTGAGTGGGGCGCCCGTCATCCCCTGGCACATTTTTGCGGGCTTCCAGGAGAACTTTCTGTTTCTCCTCAGAAGTGAGAAGGATCTGTAAAAGCTGCTGGCAATCATCCCAYGTCGGCTGGTGAGTCACTAGAATAGATTCTATCAGAGAGGTTAGAGCTACAGGGTCACTGGAAAAGGATGGGTTATGTGTTTTCCAGTTATAGAGATCAGAGGCAGAGAAAGGCCAATATTGGTATTGGCCATTGGGGCCTCCCGTCTGCCTTAAGGGGAAAACTTTAGATGTATCTCTCGAAATGGCTGGCTCTCGGCGGCCACGAAGTCTCTTGACCATGGGGGAGGGGCCCGGAGGATTATTGATGACTGGATCTACTTGTTCTTCTTCTTCTTCCGAGGAAACCTGGATGGAATCAGGGGCCGGTACGGGTTGGGGCTGATAGGGTGGGGGTTCAGGTTCTTCAATTGTCAGATCTATGAGAGCTGAATCTTCTGGCGGTAAAACCTTCTTGGGTTTCGTTGCTGTCGGAGTCGCCTTCCTGGATGTATCAAGAATGGGATAGAGTCTGGAGGTTTGGGGAGGGGGTGCGGGTATAGGGATAAGTGGAGCGGAGGGTGGAGATGGGGCTTCGGAGGGAGATCGTAGAACAGGCTTAGGCGAAGAAAAGGGGGCGACCCAAAGGGGTGGGTCAGAGGCCAAATTTTCCCAGGTAACGATGTAGGGTACTTGATCAGGGTGTCCCTGAGGACCTTGGATGAAAACGTGGGACTTCACCTGTAATATAAGATCTAGGTTAAATGTACCCTCTTTTGGCCAACCCACATTGAGTGTTGGCCATTCTGCAGTACAAAGTGTTACCCATTTTTTCTTCTTGACTTCTACCGAGAGGTTATCTGCCCGATTCCGGACATCCTGCCAATGGTCCAGGGTGAGACTCAAAGGGGTCGTGATTGATTGCCCCATGTTAGTTTTAGATGAGGAGATAGAATACAGAGACAGAAACAATAACACAATAATCACAATAACACTACAATCAGACCAAATAGAAAGAGCGCTGCCCAACTTCAAAACAAATGGCTTAGGTAGAGCGGAAGCCCCACCTTTGCCTACAAAAACAAAATGGCTTAGGTAGAGCTGAAGCCCCACCGTTGCCTACAAAAACAAATGGCTTAGGTAGAGCTGAAGCCCCACCGTTGCCTACAAAAACAAATGGCTTAGGTAGAGCTGAAGCCCCACCGTTGCCTACAAAGATCCCCGGGACGTCTCCCGGGGTGGCAGGGGAGAAGTCCGAGTTCGTCAACTCCTTCTCAAGCTGCCCAAAATACAAAGCGACTACGCGTAATCGTACAAATGCAGCGCATAGAAACAAAGTATCAGCCAAGAGTTACAAACATAGAAGTGACACCAGACTACACGACAAGCACGACATGAGCTGGCCAGCTTACCTCCCAGTGATGCCGGTGGTCCTCGGGCAGGGATCCGGACGGGGAGGGGGTCCTTTTTATCTCGGAGGGACCTCCAATGAAAAACACCCCGTTTATGAAAGACCCCCGTTTCCCTGTCCAAGGAGAATCACACGAAACACTGGCTGCAAAAGCA